AGATGTCTCATGGGATTATGCCAGGAAATGTTCTGAGCACGCATGGATGAAGACAAGCTGTACACAATCAGACACCATCCTGGCTGAAGATCTGGAGCTGGAGACTGCAACCAGGTCGGTCTTCAGCATTTGAGCTGTAGTCTAAACTCCTTAAAGCCTCAAAGGGGGTTATATAGGGGATTAAAGAGGGGAGGGATATTAAGGGAGACACTAGGAGTTTAGACAATGGCTGATTTGGTTTTGGAGGTTTCCCAAGATCAAGGTTTAGGGTTCACGGATACTATTCAAATATTGGAGAATCAAACGGAAAAGAATGGACAAGGACATGGAAACTGGGATTGCATAGGGGTGATGTAGGGATTCGGGTTTCCAAAAACTAGGGGGATCCTCTTTGGTTTTGGATGGAAAGGACGAGCATAGCTTGGGGTATATCAGGGGGACCCCTGCTTGTGGAACCTAGGGTTTAGGGTTTAGGGCTAAGAGACTTCCATTTGGACGCATCAGGGGCAAAAGGGAGGCCCGAAGCCGAAAAACCCTCCCACCTTGAACTTGAAAGATAGGTAATTTAAATAACGGCCCACAACCACTGAAAAACCCAAACCCTATTTCCACCCTAAACACAAAATCCTGGTGAGCCGCAAGAGGTTGAAAACTCCAGCTATTGGCAGCACTGTGAAGAAGTTCTGGGCAACATGTCGAACGACCCCCGTTGGCAGCACTACAACTTGATAGATTCCGTGCAGATTGCGCCCAGACAGGTTTAACCCTAAACCCTGAACGCCTAAATCGATTTCGTGCAGATTGCGCCCAGGCAGGTTTCATCACAAGGTTTGAAATCTGAAGTTGGTATAGAGTTAAAAAGTACATCGTTGTGTACAATGCAAATCACTCCTAAATTCCATGCATGTTTGCTTGTCTAATAATTCTAGATACCCCAGTAGTAGCCCGTTTTCCCTGTTCATTTTGGGGTCTCCTTGCCTCCTTGTTAAAGGTTAACTTTAGGGAAAAGGATGAAAAAGGGTACCCGCATTGTTAAGAGGTTACTGGGGAACCTAGCATGTCAACGCAGCACATACCTGGAACTGCCTGTCAGCAGATTTCTTGGACATACCTACTCATCAATGGTTGCTATGGTAGAGTTTAGGGATTAAGGTTTAGGGCCTACAAAATGGGGGAATGATTGCTATTATATAGGCTGAACTGTGGTTACAGGTTGGATCCATCATGAGGAGTAAGCTTACATGTCATCCTCTAGCCCCTACCAGGGTTTGGGGTTAAGGTTTGAGGGTGTAGGTTTAGTTTTTAGGGTTTATGGTGCTGGATTCTCAGCTGTCTGTTTGTTAGGACTCAGACCCCTGAAGGGTCTGAAATTAGCTCCCACATGAAACCCGCTTAAGAACCCCTTTATAATCCCAATTAAAACTTTGCAGGTGACTCTGGGGGATCTTTTTTGGAGCCCTGTGGAGGAATGGACCCCCATGCTGGGTGTATGATGCGCCATACTACATGTTTTCCACCGTTCAGTCCCTGCCGTAACTTTATAGTTTCAACTCAATACCAAGAACCAGTAAGTAACACCCAATTTGGGCCATTCCCCTTTACTGGAGCTGTCCTTCAAGGGTCTTTCCCCCTTACTGTAACTGTCCGTCAAGGGCCTTAATTAAGAGCCCATTACAAGTATAAGCCCTATTACCCACTGGTAACAGTGACTCTGAGGGGGACTTACCTAATACCTTAGGAGGACCCCCCACCCCGTAATAGTGACTGCAATGTATAATACAGATTATATTAGGGTCCTAGTATATTCATTGTACCACTATTACAGGGTGGTGGGTCCTCCTAACTAATACCCAATTGGTTTTGCAAAAGCCCAGGCCTTTGAGCTGTGGCGTGGGGTTGGACAAACCCTCTAAGAACGCCCAGACCGCAGGCCTAGGTACTTTTGCGCGAATCCCTTCGAAGGATTCCGCCTTAAGGGGTCTATCCTATTTGGGACCCTCCCAAAAACCCTCAACCCTAAACTTATGTAGAGTCTAGGGCTCAGGGTTTGGGTCTGGGGATTTCTACGCTTCTTCTCTTCCTTACTCCCAGAAAGATGGTAGCCTTGTTGGACCAACAGTGGGCGAACATGCCAGAAACGCAGCTTACCCCACAAAATGGGAAACCAACCCCAAACCAAACTCGCGAAACTCAAAACCCTAGACCCTAAACTCCCTACACCCAAATCCCCTAAATCCTTGACCCCTAAGCCCTTAACCCCTAGACCTTAGGAGGACCCCCCACCCTGTAACAGTGGTATAATATGAATATAAGAGGACCCTAATAGAATCCCTATTATCCCTTATAGTCACTATTACAGGGTGGGGGGTCCTACTAACCTAGACCCTAAACCCTAAACCCTAAACCCTAATATAATCCCTATTATCTCTTATAGTCACTAGTACTGGGTGGGGGGGTCCTACTAACCTAGGCCCTAAAACCCAAAGCTAGGCCTGCAGAGGGCGACATTGCCTGCCTCAGCCGGACTGCGAGGACGCGTGCTGGAGGGGCAGTGAATCAGCGGTTCTGACCGTAAGATGTTAGGGTTTGGTTTAGGGTTTAGGGTATTTAGGGTATTTAGGGTTTGGACTTTTAGGGTTTAGGGTTGAAATGGTAAACCCCTAAGGCCTCAGAGTTTGGGGTCCGTTGAGGGGCCTTTTGAAGCCATGGGAATTCGTTTGGGTAAGGACACTTCACGTTAAACCCTGGGGTGGGGCATGCAGCCCGGGGAACCACTTTTGCCAAAGGGACCTTTAGGCTTGAGGGTATAGGGTTTTTTGTTAAAGGGGTCCGTTGGTCCACAAGTATTGTAAACTCCTGAGGCATAGTGTAGGGTATATGATGATGTGCGAAATTTGGGTAGTTTCCCACAATGGGGGGACCCAATACATCCTTATAATGTCGGTCCAAAAAGCATCATGAATTGTGGGAGTTTTCCCAGATGTGTTTGAAGGAGCAAGTCTTTCACAACTTCAGCCGCTTTCCACCTGACAGCTCCTTGGCGAGCCCCCGGCACTGCGTATAGCGCTCCCGGCTGCCTTTTAAGCCCATAATCTAAATTCAAAAAGCAGGTTCTATAAGGAATTATATAGGGGACTACTACAGGGGTTATAAAGTGGGGTATTAGGACTTTAGACTCTAGCTCAGATAATAGGCCACTGGGCTACGTATAGAGTATGTAGAACCCAGAACCAACTATTTAGGCAACTGCAGCCCTGGGGAACGTTTCAGGATCCAATGGTGCCAGTAGAGCTACTCTGGGGTCCACGTAGATACTGTGTAGCTACATGGTGCCTTTGGGCAATGCTATAGTCGTATTAGCAGTGATGTACATCATCAGTTTGTCAGGAGTACCGGGGAATAAAATTCTAAACCCAAACTTAATAGCTCATGCTTCTACTTAGTCGCAGGCTTGGTGGGACTGGCCCGGACTACCTGCGAACAAAAGCCTGAGTTTCACGGCCGCTATGCCTGGTTTCACGCCTTCGAGCAGGCGCGCGCTTTGTGCTTTACTTGGAGGTCGGGGGTCTTAGTACCTAGGCTAAGTGACTAAGTCCCCCTGATCCGCCAAGCAGCATTTAGAGATTCAGGTTCTTGTAAAGAGACGAAGTAAGCCCTAAACCCTCATGATCGAGACTCTGCCTTCTGCTGCAAAGACCACAGAAACTGTCAGAAGCTAACTCACCAGGTTGGTCTTAAAAAAAATGTGGTCACTCTTTATGGTCTCTGGTAGCATACCGCTCCCATATTCATTGCCTCAGAAAGGGGCCATGCTCGTGCCCACCTTCCAACAGAAACCTCTTTGTGTCCCATGCGCCCTGGGCATGAGTACCGGTTTCTCAAATTTGGGGTTTAGGGCTTTTGGGTTTAGATAGCGGGAGATCAACTCCCACAAGTTTGTGTTCCGCAAGTTGTCGAATTAGCATGGGGACAGGACAAGTACATACGGTATTTTTCCATAATTAAGTGGCCCCAAGATAGACCGCCCACAAATACTCTAGACCTCATGATTCATGATTTTCGGACCCCCAAAAGGTGCCCCCAATCATAGAACCCCCCCGCCCTATTTTGAGCTGCATCGACACGCCCAAACCTGAAACAAAACCCCTCAACCCTGAGCAATAAGCCGCAGAGTTTTATTTGACAACGCTGCCGAGGTGGTTTATGACCTGAAGCGAAGCAGGCCCCACGACACTCCTCCACCTGAAGCTTGTAGTTGGACCTAGATCCATTTTCTATACTTCTTGGGCATTTTGTTGTGGCTTTAGGATTCAGGTTTAAGGGATCAAGATCAATTTTGTACGTTTGCTTGGAATCTAATTTGGGTGGGTGGGTTGAGGGTTCGGGGTTTAGGATGAAAAAGTTTCGTGTGGACTGCCGTAGGTCTTCACAGATGCCGCGCCCTGAAAACGGATGCCCAAAACATGGGGCATCCCTACACAAGGATGCCCTCCCAACAAGGACCCTTTGCTTCATGATATTATGCATGGGCTGTTGAAGTACCCTGAAATACCCTGGCGTTCAAGTGCTTGGTGTTCAGAATTCAAGCTCCAAGACCTAAACCTTGAACCTTAAACCTGAAGATTAGAAGGACCAAATGATTTTGTGTCGAAGGATCTTATTGAGAACTCGCCCTAAACCCTGTAGATTCCTATTTATCCTTATATACCCAGTATACAACCCCATTTAAAAAAAGAAAAATACGTAGCCGCATATAACCCCATATAAGCCGTAGGAACCCCCTCTGAGGGAAGCAACCTAAACCCTAAACCCTAAACCCTCAAGCCCCAACCCTAATACATTAAACCCTAAGTCCTAAAACCCTAAACCAAAAGACCTTAAACCCTAAATAGTAGTTTTGACCCTAAACCCTAAACCCTAGATCCCCTCTAAAGGAAGCACTGGTGGTCCATCTCCGCCTTGGCGACGTTCTGGAGCAAGCGGCTACATCAGTGGAAGAAATGCTGCAGCAACTGAGCTGTAGTTCAAACTCCTTAACGCGGGTGGGGTTTAGGGTTTGGATCTAGGGGTTAGGGTTTAGTTTAGGGTCTAAACTCCTTAGAGGGGGGGTTATATAGGGTTAAGGGCCTAGGTTCTAACCTCCTTAAAAAGGGGTTTTCTTGGGGCTATATATAGGGTTTCTATTATAGGGCTCCTCAAGGCGGATACTGGGAGTGTAGACTACACCTCTCTTGGCTCGATTCAGGATCTGGGTGCGCTGGGAGGTTCAAGAGTACTTGGAGGGTCAGGGGGGTTTATTAGGTCGGTGACTTGTAAAAGGGATACAGTAGCTCAGGCTATTGGCCAGGCGCTTTCAAAATATACTTGCTAAGTCTTGCTAAGTCCCCCAGCCCTCCAGCCCTCCTTGGCCGGAAAGAGGAACCGTAATCAGCTGAGCAACAGTACTGCCAGTGTCCCTCCTTGTCGGGGCCACCAGGGGGAACCAGGATGCGTCATAACGAGGGCAACCCAAACCCTAAACCCTGATACTATAGTTTCCATTGTCCTTTCCATTGCTACTAAGGCCCCCTGACTGGGCCCAACTCTGGACCCCAAATCCCAAGCCCTCCCACCTCTCCAAGGAACTGCCTGAAATCTGCATATCCGACATATGTGCCCCCCACATGATTGAAGATGAATGCTTCAGCGTACATACATACATACATACATACATACATACATACATATGGTGGACATCCCCCCTGTAGCAGGGGTTAGAATAGGAATATAAGAGGACCCTAATATAATGCGCATTATCCCTTACAGTCCCCATTACTGGGTAGAAGACAGAACAGAGGGATTTGCTTATGTGACTGGAGAAAGGCTGGGAATGCTAGTCTGTTCAGTGGCATACTTGTTTACTTTTCTTGGTTTCTGGGTTCCTAGTATAAAACTACCATTAACCAAGACATACATATTTTTCCCAGAGGCTACTGAACAGCTTGCAAACAGGGGGGGGGGACGAGATGCAGAAATACCTTCCACTGATAGGTGTAAAAGCAGCTTGGGTTGGACAATCCAGCACGTCATAAAGTAGCTAGCAGCTAAGATGGGTAGGTCTGCGAAAACAGCTGGATGAACATGGTGAACAGAAATATTGAAAGAGCACCCTACACCCCGATCCCTATATTGCATCTACCCATCGTTTCCACCACATTACCCCTCTACCCCTTCTGTAAAAGAACCCTAAGCCCTAAATCGATTTATGAATTGGGACGCTGCTCGGCAGTCTTGAAGACGGTTGGGCCACTGTTCTGATGACGTTCCTTCTGCTGTGTAGCGCTCGTTTGCCCGGACCTCAGAGATAGCGTGGGGTAAGCCAAACTATGAGACACCAGCTCAGCAAGGCATCCAACACATTTCTACAAGAAGAAGGTTGCCTGGAACCAATACGCCAAGACTCTGGCTGCATTCCGGAGGCAGCCGTTAGGGTCTACGGTTTAGGGTTTAGATAATGCATTACATTAAAGTTGTGGTCTCCTTAGGAATTACTTGTTCATTTCCACTCTGGTATAACCTAAGGAATGATCAGACATGACAATTTTGAAATATGTCTAGGGGGACTACCCGGGCTACAGTCTGGGTTTATCATTTTGGGCTTGCCCTCAGGTGACATAGAGCCTGTTATGACGTTTTCTCAGCAAAAAAAGGGGGCGCCTGGCGACAAAAGGGATATGGGAAATGTGAGGTGCAAATGTGAGGTCATCGCAGGGATTCCATGTAATGTGCCGCAACTTCCAAATGAGCCCCTAAACCCTAAACTCCAAACCTAAACCCTAAACCCTAAACTCAAACATATTATTTGCATAGGAAGGCGAGGCAATAGCTTTCCTCCTCAACACCGGGATGCCTATGTATGAGCTATAGTCTAAACTCCTTAAAGGCGGATTATATGGGGGATTATATAGGGGTTATTAAGGGGGATACTAGGAGCTCAGCCTATAGCTCATATGGTCATCCTGAGTTTCGGGGACTCCCAAGAATAAGGGGCTGTTGATTTAGCGGAAGCCTTAAATCTCACGCAGGCTTTCTTTGTTTCGTTCAGGTGAGTGTATATGTACTATAGTCTAAACTCCTTAAAGGGGATTATGTAAGGGAGTATTACAAAGGGGAAACTAAGGGGTAATAGGAGTTCAGAGTATATCTCATATAGGCTTTATAGACATTGGCTGTGTCCCTGTGCGGAACCCCTGAAGTCTTGCACTACCCCGAAGATGAAAACGTCTATATCCCCACGAGCCACAAACCAACCCTAAATTGGTTGAGCGCTGGGCTGAGAGCATTGGGATGATCCAGCAGAAAACAAAACCGAGCCTCATACCCCCCGACAACATGGCTGTATGGTTGATACTGAAATCCGTAATGTCCTAAGGTTTAGGGTACTTGGGGGTCATGCAGCGGTGGCCACAGTAGCATCTTGCTGTAAAGACTCCGGCAAGGGGGGTTTTGTTTCGGATCAAGTAACGTCAGATGGGTCCCCTGATCTGCCAGAATACAACAGCAGGCCGATTTGAAGTCCACAAACCAGTGAACCCCCCACCCTCCCCGTACCAGGCCTACACTTATCATTCCCGTGTGGGGCGAGTTGCCAACATGATGATCCTGCTTTACCCTGCGGATCAAGAATCGACCACACTCTGACAATCCATCCTGTTATGCACATGACAAAGGGGATTGGTGGACATTATGGAGGATTATATTAGGATTGTGATTGGGATCCATTCCCCCTAACGCACCAGTAAGTGACATGTATCCTTACTTTGAGAGTCCCCACAGGTCACTTCCTTCCGAGTTGGTGGCGGGCCGGGACATCATCATTGCAGCCTTCCTGGGGTTTGGTAGGGGTTTATTTAGGGTGTGGGGCTGGGCCTAGGTCGTATAGTCTAGGCTTGGGGCTTACGGCACCTGAAGCAAACCTTGGTAGATATACTTGTGACCCCTCTAAGTCACAGAATGTCCCCACTTCTTCCCAGTATAACCCTAGATACCAAGCACCCCTGACCCTCCAAGTAGCCTCCAAGAGCTGATATAGCCGACTAGTTGGGAGTTGATAGCTGTAACATGCGGAAAACGTTTCGTTTTTCTGCCCGAGAGAGTTCACACAGTAGGTATCCTCAACCATGCATGCCGGCCCGAATGCAAGCGTCACTCGGCCGCCATTGGTTTGCTGTTCAGCCTTGAAATCTAGCGTTCAGTGCTGTTCAGGGAAGGTTAAGCGGTTAAGCTTCATATCTTGGATGTTCTGTGTGTGTGTGAGTATGTGTGTGTGTGTGTCAGTTTGCTGAAGGCGGAAAATCAGCTTTCACAAGAGCAGTTGCTTTCCACATACGAAGTCCCAAAGCAAAATTAAAACAAACAGGCAGCCTTGATTTTGATCAGCGCTTAAGAGAAAGCGCGGGAGTACGTGAGTCCTGGGCAAAAAGGGAGAGTAGATCCCTAGAACACTCCTTATACAGCACTCTACAGGACTCACTTCCCGTTTTTGTTGAGCACCAGTAAGGATTGTCAACGACTGGTATATCACTATGTCATGAAGGCCCGATAGGCAATCTACGAGGAAGAAATGCCCTCGGCCTAATAATGACCCCCCCAGCCCCTAATGACAAATACGCCCACTGATGTATAATGATGCCATATTGGAGCTTATCATTAGGGGAGGGATTACATGGAATTGGCCGTTTTTAGGTCCTTAGAACAGGGAAAACAATACTTTGGGGTATATAAGTGGTACCCCTGCTTTCGAAAATACACAAACAACCGAAATGGCTCTCTAGGATCATCGCATCCACTCAGGTTCAGAATCCCGTGCCGCTGAAGTCTTGCCACTACCTGCGCGTGGTGTCGGAGTATTTTCGCAGTCAAGGCGCAGCAAGCGTGTCCACTCGCATCAACCACCTGCCTGATGATGACGCATCTCAGCTTCACAACTCAAGGGGCAGGCGGAAGTAGGAGTTTCCCAGACCCTTCAAGTAATACGAATCCTAACCAATAATAAACATGCCCAATGCGGTAGATGCCCCAATGTGGTCTATCTTGAAATTATTGCAAATACACGTATCTACATACATGTATATAGGAAAATAAAGATAGATATGCATATATATATAGATATTCATTTTTACGGGAGGGTGTTGGGTGACAAGAAAAGAGTCCCATGTGTGCTTGGAAGCTGCTCCTGCTATCCTGCTATTTCATTTCTGCACAACTCAGTCATCGTCATCAAGTTTCTCTCGGGTATTTCTACCAAACCCGCCCCCATCATTCCTCCTCCCCAGCATGCACCCAAAAGAGTCTAATGAGGCTTTATCTTGGGCACGGGGCAGGATACTGTAATAATGGGAGGTGTTTAGAGGAGCTCATAAAGTGAGACTTACTTAATGAATCCTAAGCCCTAAGCCGCATTTGTTCTTTGGTTCAGACACACATCCTCAAGCCTTACTTTGCCTGAGGATTTTACTGGGGTTATATAGGGGCAATATAGGGATAATGGTAAAATGGAAACTACTATAATAAAACCCTAAACCCTAAACCCAGGGCTTAGGGTTTAGTACCTCGTAGCTTTGCTGCTGGGCTCTGTAAACTCCTTGGGACTAAGCTTGGACCTTAGACCCTTCGTCCCTTATACTCCTATGATAGGTACCTAAGGGTTAGCCCTAAACCCCTATAGAACGCCTATGTAGCCCTATAATTATGGTAGTAGCTTCCATTTTCTTTTGCATTAACTCTTAGTAGGCCACATAGTAAAATCCAGTTGGTCGAGTCTTGTTTGGTTTCGAGGCTGCCTTCCATCAGATTTGTGCAAAACAGAAGGCCTAGACCCTCCCTCAACCCCAGATTTGTGCAAAACAGAAGGCCTAGACCCTCCCTCAACCCCTTTATGGGCAGTTCCCAGAATTAGGGTCCCATTTTGGTACCCCTAGATATTAGGTGCCGTAGTATAATCTATAACGAAAATGGGCCCATAAAATTTGAGAACCGCGCTTTTTCCTGAACTTTTTCTTGACACCTTGCCTGCTTCAACCACCAAAACAATGACATAGGTGCTCTTTATCCTGGGAAGTTCTCACTTCGTGGTGTCCAGCGGCACCTACTCAGCCAATTTAGGCCGGCTGCTGCGTGATCGTGCGAAGGTGTATCGATTGACTGAGGCTGACGCGGAAGAAAAAACTGCTTGCGTAGGGGTGTTGGGGTTTAGAGTTCTAGCATCAGCAATAACAAAAAATGAGTTATGATAACAAGTTTCTGAAGTTGGGTGGTTTAGGAGGTTTACGTACTGCCTCTTACGAGGGAGTTAGGGAGTATAATCCCTAAATAATTCCTGCATGTCATATTCCCTTATTCCCTACTAAGAACCCGTAAGTTTGCGGTGTTGAAGGGGTTGAGGCCAGCAGGTCCCTGCTTTTCCTTTTGGGATCCCAGGGTTTCCTCAAAGTTCGGGCTTAGGGTTTAGGGGTTTAGGGCATTCTCAACACTAGGGTTCAGGGTTTAGGGGCGTAGGGTTTGAGGCTTTCTCAAAATTAGAGGTCAGGGTTGTTCAGGATAGTCAGGGCGGTCCTTTTTCTCGTTGAGTAACTGGTGAGCGGGCAGGTTATAGGTGTAATGTTCCGGGTGAGGGCTGAAAAGCAGCAAGAAACAAGAAGTCCAGCAGCCGAAGAGCAAAGCACAGTAATCTGCTGCTTGCGCAGGATCCAGCCCCGCCCTTAGGAACTGAGGAGCAGGTGACTCTTAACGAGCCCTGTACGTTGGGATGGCAGCATCTAGGGCTTAGGGTTTAGGGTTTAGGGGTTTAGGGTGTAGGGTAAGGTTTAGGGCCTGAAAACTCTCCGCACCCGAAACCCAAACGACAAACCCTAGGCTTGAACATGAAGCCTCAACCTTTGGTATTACCGCCACAAAATACCAGTTAGAAAACAGCAATACCATAGATACATAAAGCATTATCACTATTCCTATTATAGACTGTTACTGGGTGGTGGCAGTACCCAACCTTAACCCCTTTTCAAAGCTACAAGGAAGCTGGGGGTTTGATCATTGCTGGCCTGGACACCACTTACAATGTGCACCTTGGCTCGGGATTCAGGTATGGATTCCCGTACCCTCCCCGCCCCCCCTCTCGCATACTACTCTGCCCTAGGTTCCCTTTTCTTTCAGGCAAATTGGGGATCGTCTGGTCTGATTCATGGGGAACCTAGTGGGTGGAGATAAAGTGATGCCAGGGTCGCTCAAAGCCAGGGGGGCCATGGCCTCTCGGGGATGATGAGGGAGTCCGAAAGTTGGAAATACATGGGGTAGGTTGTCACAATTATGGGCCTCCTGCGGGTGACCCTTCATGCTTGTATCTCCCTTAGAATTTGGGTACCCAGGGTGAGACCATAATTTCAACAATCTATCACAGGTAGGAAGAATGTAGCTATCCTACTCTTAGCTTCTTAGTCCTAAGCTAATCTCCCGGTATGGGGCCGCGAGGTTTTTATGCATGGATTTCATGCGGCTTCTCGTTTCCATCAATGTATATACCTCTGTCGCATGCTGGGGGCACATGGAGGAACCCGATGCCAGCGCATTACCTATACGTCGCGTTTATAGAACTGGGACCCCGGATGCCGTACAAAATGGTTCTGGCGCTGAATCCCATGTTTGTGTTGCAGTTGGGTATTAAACCCTAAGCCCAAGCCCAAAACCCTAAGGTCTCTTCGTAGAGCCTTGAAGTTGGGCCTGCGCCACGAGCAAGGCATCCGAAAAAAAAAATGCACCTTCCCAGTTTTTGCAGGCGCATACTTCTTTTTGGCACATATCTATCCATATACCAGTCTTGAAGAGACAAAACTCAAGAGGGACAGCGGCCACACAACTGGTGATCATAACTTTGGCCTTGACTCCAAGTTCTGGACCCCAAGCTGCTCCCAAAACCCCAAAACCTACAGTAAATGGGTAGTTCCCAAAAGTAGGGGTACTTATTTGGGGGTCCCCATAAGACGGATTGTATCATTTTGGTGTCTATATTGGGGTCCCCTATTTAGGGAAACTACCAACTGGCCCAGGCTCATGTGGGCAATGATCAACCTTGCGCAGAATCAAGAGGCAGGACAGCCTTTGAGCTTCTCCTGTGAGAAGTTGCCGACATTTTGGAAAATCTTCCCTTAAGTCTGACCAGGGGCCGCCAGGGAGGAGTTGTAATTCCTGCATACTGTAGACCCCTGATTGATAAATCACGTCCCCAGCCAAAGCTTCGAATTGTGGGTCGTTCTGGTGCTATACAAGTGCTTGCTTTGTGGCACGTGCAAAGGTTGCGCCCCCCCCCCCTCCCTCGGCGCAAAAGCAAAAAAACAAAACACGACGCCCGTGGAAAGAGATTTCACCCGTGAACTAGGCTCCAACGACCTTGGGTCCTGATATGTTGCCGTTAGAGACCGGCATCCCAGCTGACCTGCATAATGTAGTTTTGTAGCTTGGCAGTTCATCAGTTGAGCTGCATCCAGATCCCCCAGATTATGACTTCTGCGTAGAACTTTCACGTGGCTGCATGAAGAGCAAGGCCTCAATATTCCAGCGCTGCCTAGTTACAGTGGATGTCTTGCACCACCCTATTTACGCTATCTCCGAGAACTACACTATCCTGTGGATCCTCATTGGCTCAAAGATTTCCTCCGTCCACCGAAGTGACCTTGAAAATCACCAGATCCTAAACCCTACGCCCAAAAACCTAAACTTTAAAATTCTAAGATGGCCTGCCGTCTAAGGGATAATCATGGACCCTGTATGGGCCCCCTACACCCCAACCCCCCTCTTCCTGAGCCTACATACCTAGAATGCACCCGGGCTGACCTGACCCTAAACTGGGTTGCTGTTAAGGAACTGAAAAGGGGCTTACGGTTTCCCCTATAAAGAACAAGCAAAGGGAACATAAAATGACAAATTAAATGGAAACCGGGGGAATATAGGGGTTTAAGGAACTTACATGAAGTTACCTTAATGGGTGTATAATAGTAATTCATATGGCTTCCCCAATAGTAACTTAGATTAAGTTCCTTAACAGCAATCCAGTAGGCCCTAATTAAACCACAGCACGCCTAGAATGCCTTTCAAAAAGGGGTTTGGGGTCCCATACTTACCCTGTATAACCCTACATAGTGCCTACATAACCCTAAGTCGTTTCCATTTTATTTTCCATTCTCCCATACTTCTTTGCTTGGATGCAGGCGCAACAGAAGCTCCGCGAAGAGATTCACCAGGTTGGCCCCTCTCGGTTTTGGGCTCCAGGGTCCTACAGTCTATTGGGGCTATACGAGCCATATTCTAAACTCCTTAAANNTAGGGGAATATATAGGGGACTACTTTCGGAATTATTAAGGGGGATACTAGGAGTTTAGACTATAGCTCATACAGGGATAAATGAAAAGATAATGGAAACTACTATAGTGTATCGGGGTTTGTATAGGGATACTGGAAAAGATAATGGAAACTACTATAGTATATATTGGGTTATACAGGGATAATGGAAAGCAAAATGGAAAAGACTATAATATGTTGGGGCATGCCTTGGGGCTTAGGGATCGCGGGGTAGGGTTTAGAGGCTGTGGGAAGTTATCGTATTTTCTACAAGGGGCTAGCTGGGGGTATTACGTGGTTTAACAGTTCATAAACGAGGAACGTGTACTAAGACTTGCCAGGTCCCCCTTTTTATCCTCTTAAGTGCGTTCGTGGTATAGGCTTGTCCTAAAGGTGATACTAAAAAATATGTCTCTAGGGTACTAACAACGGTACTTCCCAGGGTTTGAAGGCACTAGCAGAACCTATGCTGCTCTTGGCATTCCTGGAACCCTTGTTGCCCGAAGCTTGGGTTACTGTTCGTTAGCCCCTATGTCATACCATACTGCCTGCAACCCAAGAACCTACTGTACAGGTAACGG